AATTAGCATGAAATAAAAACTGCTATGATACTAATTGTTGGTTTCTCAAACCGGATTTTCAAAAAAAAATTGTACGGAAGCGTGGTATCGATCGAATCACACAAATCAAAATTTAATGCGATCATTATTTCATGTTATTTTAACTACAAAGATATTAAAGAAAGGAATGAGGATTTGACCGTCGTTCGATTAGGACGAAAATCTTAAACTCCTCCAACACCGTCTTGAGCTCTTAAATTCTAAGAACACCACGGTTCTTTCTCAATGTATCTCCGGATTAACGTGAACTCGAATGTGTGGGCGTTCTAATGGGTTTCTCAACACATGAGATGGATGAATAGGAAAGCCACCTATAGTTATCACTCACTTTTCTCAAAAGTATATGATGGCACTCAAGAAATTTTCTTTGGTTTTCTTTTTCTTTCTTTCTGTTCTCTTTGGAAAAAAAAAAAACTTTTATTTTCGTTGCTCACTTATCCCCAGAATTCATCCCCTTATTGAGTAAATGTGCAACCGCACATTTACTCCATTTCCTCAGGTGAGGAAACGTGCAACAGCACGTTTCCTCCCACTCCCTTTCTTTTTTTTCTATAATGCATCCAACGTGGATTCCAATTTCTGGCTATACACATATGCAAGTGGATTAGACAAACTAGGGATCGACTTGCACTTACAATTTAAAACTCATGATGAGTGTCACTTGGAACATATACAAATGGCATCTTGGAATCCCAATGTTAATTCGTGCAATAATTGGGTCATAATTATTTTCGGGCGGATTTATTATAATCTGATTTATTATAATCTAATAAAGTTTTTATCTCTATCATATATATATATATATATTGTTGGACCCTATGGTATTGTGCTTTTAAGTCTAACCTAAAAGTACATGTACATTATAAACAAGTATATATATGTGTGTGCGTCTGTAATTTAGATGTGTATAAGTGTATATGTAGGTAGAACTTCTCCATAAATATTAAGCTTGAAGAGATGGGCAATCGGCTGCTTACAGCTATATATTGGAATGAGTGAACACTTGAAGAATTTTTCAAGCAAAAAAAAAAAAAGAAAAAGAAAAAAAAGTGAGACTGAAGAATTTAAAAGGACGAGAAAAGAGAGGTTGAACTAGGAGGCAAGTACGACAAACTTGCCCATGCATAATATTCTCTTTTTATATATTTTCACATTCTTTTCCAACTTTTTCTCTCTGACAACTTTTTATGGGGCAAATGCGAACATATAATAATCTTAGGCGTTTCGATCCCTTGAGTGAAAGACAGCTTAGTCGACATAAAATAATTAATAAAACCCTAGCTAGCCCTAGACCCCGCTTATACTATCACTATTATAGTATTCCAATTATTTGATGAACAATACTTCATGATTATCCTTTCGATTGTATCTCCAAACTAACTCAAATTTTGAATCACAATATTTTTGTTTCTGTAAGCTCAAAAGAAGAAAATTCGTATTTCGTTATTAGCTAGGCATATATATGATATGATCTCTTACCTATAGTTCACGATTTTAGGCTTGTAGATGATGTTGTTGCAAGTGGGTGCATGCGTGATAAGGGTGGGGGTATATATGCATGCGTGTGTCAGGGCATGTCATGAGGATTATATATATATATATATATGTATGTATGTATGTATGTATGTATGTATACATATAATTCAGTAAATTTTATGCTTTTTGAACATCGATTTAGACTCTGTGCTGCATTCTGTCATGAACGTAACTAAACCCTCATTCTATAAATTATAATTAATATTTTGGTGGTAACTTTCTCTTTGGAATATGAGATTCTTAGCTTTTATGCCTCCCAATAGTTTTATTATTGCAGAATATCAATAGTTAAAATTCCTCCCATTTATTTCAAACACTACCAACGATTTTGTTTTAAGAACTCAAACGTTTCTTTTTTAATTTTTTATGTATAAGATGTATTAAGCGGACTGTTATACATATAATACTGCATATATTAACTGACTATATTCGTTTTAATTATTTTTCTACCCAAACAGAATAGCTATATTCACCTACTTATAAATATGTACTACTTTTATCTAATTTACATACTACAAAGAAATTGAAAAAAAAAAATGAAAAAAGAAAAAAGAAAAAAAAAAGCTCTAATCTCTCTTGATCAATCTTATTTATACGTTTGCTTGTTCCTACTTACTCATCAACATTAATTGATATCTCTGTTTCATACCTTTTTCTAGTAAATTTATTGATTAATACTGCTTGAGATTCACAATAGCTTTTTTGTTTAGATAAACCAGAACATAAAGATTTAATTAATAATTTTACGCCTCAAAATACAAGATATTTAGAAGTACCATTGATGCTCTAATGAATAATATATTTTATGATCCAATCATAAAATTGAGCGCTCTTATTATTCAAGTCCCGAATCAACACTTATGAGAACCATCCATCTACTTCATTATGAAGGAATGGATTTCATCTTGTAAATTAATATTCCCGGCTATTTATTTTACTATGCTCCCAATATACCAAGACTTTGACACTATTCACATGTGTCATTACTCAATATGTCAAAGAACATAATATCATAAATAGGAGTTTATTAATTACTCAAAATTAAGATTAATACATATACGACCATAATTGATTAACATTGAATACTCTATTTAATAACGGAATTTATTAGAGATTCATAATTAATCGCATTCCAGTCCTATGTAATCATATTACATAAAATGCTTTCATTCCAATAATCTCATTATTAACAATCTAGGATAAGATTGTTTCATTCAGAATGTAATGAACCGCATTAGTAATTTTAAATTAAAAATCTCAACTTTAATTTATAATTACGGACAAGTTTAGATTATTTTATTTCAAACATTATCCTCTGCATATAACAATTATATACAATGTTTAAAGTTACATCAAAAAATAATCTAGGGATTTTGATATTTATAAAACATCACATGTATGCAAAATAATATTGAAAAAATTCTTCATTTCATTGATAATCAGTAAAATATTTACATCTTATTTGATTTATGGGCATATATCCCAACAATGAACGTAACTAAACCCTCATTCTATAAATTATAATTAATATTTTGGTGGTAACTTTCTCTTTGGAATATGAGGTTCTTAGCTTTTATGCCTCCCAATAGTTTTATTATTGCAGAATATCAATAGTTAAAATTCCTCCCATTTATTTCAAACACTACCAACGATTTTGTTTTAAGAACTCATACGTTTCTTTTTTAATTTTTTATGTATAAGATGTATTAAGCGGACTGTTATACATATAATACTACATATATTAACTGACTATATTCGTTTTAATTATTTTTCTACCAAAACAGAATAGCTATATTCACCTACTTATAAATATGTACTACTTTTATCTAATTTACATACTACTAAGAAATTGAAAAAAAAAAGAAAAAAGAAAAAAAAAAAAGCTCTAATCTCTCTTGATCAATCTTATCTATACGTTTGCTTGTTCCTACTTACTCATCAACATTAATTTTAAGAGCTTTTCAAATTCATATCTGTTTTTTTTTTTTTTTTTTTTTTAAAAAAAAATTTAAATATTGATATGTCTGTTTCATACCTTTTTCTAGTCAATTTATTGATTAATACTGCTTGAGATTCACAATAGCTTTTTTGTTTAGATAACATAAAGATTTAATTAATAATTTTACGCCTCAAAATACAAGATATTTAAATTAAAATAGATTTAATTGAAATTTAAGATCTTCTTTTTTTGTTATGTGAAAAGGCCCCTTTTTAGCATAAGGCCTTAAATTTCCTTGAACCGGTCCTGGTAGTCAGAAGATGTTTTTAAAGTTCAACGTACGTTTTTAATATTATGTGAAACATGACAGAGTACCAGGGAGATACCAAGTGATGAGAATCCAATGTTAAGCATCCCTATTTTCTTCAAAGGATTTACTAATTAGACTTAATGAACAAAATAATTAGCCATTAGCATGCAAAAGAGAATTCATTTATCTTTTTTTTTTTTTTTTTTTTTTTGCCTTATTGCTACTGACTAATTAGAAAAATTAGCTAATTAAACATCCCATATTGATGTTTTAATAAGTTTAAAGGAGACACTTGCACTTTAAACATATAATTTGTAGTGATCTTTTACAACACAATTAATTTGGATTTTCCGGCACGTACGCTTGGCTAACGATATAAGTTGCAATTAAATCATAAATGTTTGGAAAATTATAAAACTCTCTCATGACTTTAAGTGAAATACAATATCAACTCAATTTGTATCCTCTTCAAAAGTCAAAGTGGATCCCATAAATCTTTCACTTTATAATCATAGGTCCACAAACATTACTCAAAATTTAAAAAAAAAAAAAATCATCCACAAACATGTGCATATTTTTTAATGACAATTACATAAACCTAGTTACGCCTATTTTCATTAAATGCCTGGTTACAATGACAATTACATAAACCTAGGTACGTCCATTTTCATTAAATGCCTGCTTCCAATGACAATTACATTACGGAAGTAAGTCCATTTCAAATAAATGCCTGGTCCCAATAAGTCCCAACAATTAAGTTTGGGTTTCAAAAATTTAAACGTGTTAGGGACCAAAATTTAATGGAGCGAAAAACGTACTCTTTTTTGTTAAAACTTTTATCACTCTTTTTATCACTTTTTTGTCACTTTTTTGTCACTTTATATTTACTGCTTGTCACATGAATTTTAATATCTCATTTTTTGTTTAAAAATAATATATCATATTAATAGAGTGCGTGTGTCAAATAATAAATGTAAAAAGTGAAAGTAGCCTTTCTTAAAGATAATACGCATGTATATGTAATTCTACTAATAACCAATCTATAGGTGGTCCAGGGAGCAGCTGAGGTTAATTTAACATCATTTTTATTTTTATTTTTCATTTTAAACAAATCACTTTCAACGTTTAATTAAGGAAAATGCCATGGGAATCTAATTTCTCACTCAATTCTGACAGGACGACTATCTGCAAATGTTAGAATGGCCGGCGACGTTATAGTTAAAGGAAAGAAGTTGGGGACTGGAAATTGTGGAGGCATTGTAAGTATAGAATTTTCCCATGTCCGGAAGCATCTTCTCATATAAACCGAAAAATTTACATTGAATAATTGATTTTGCCCAAGATTAACAAAATGACATCTTAGCAAAAACATACTAAAGTTTGGAGAGAAAGAGACAAATTGCGTTTTTTCTTTCTTTCTTTTTTTTTTTTTTTTGAAGCAAATATAGCATGGAAAATATCTTAATTTTCAAAATTATTTATTCGGTGACCTAGCTATGACACACACACAAAAAAAAAAATTTTCCTTTTTGCGCAAGCACAAGTAAAGTATCTTTTCGATATATATATATATATATATATATATATTATATGTAAAGATCCCTATATAATGAATTAATGAGTGAGGTTATGGACACTAATTTTAATCCTAACTTTTTGTATACCAATTGATGTGGTATGTGAGTTATTCATGATTTTTTTTATTGGTATATACGTAATTTCTCATCATTAATTGATGTGATAATATTTTAAATACTTACCAATATAAACATAACAATTACCATGTCACATCAAATAGTATACAAAATTTGATATTAATTAAAGTTAGTGTCCCTAACATTAATCATAATTAATAGACTTATTACCTATGTATATTACTTGTAACTGTACAAAACACAATTTCAACTGAATTTGTGCCTTAAAAATTCTCCAGTCATATCTCAATCAAGAGGATGTTTTCTTGGGGACTCTCACCGTCAGAGAAACCATAACTTATTCTGCAAATTTGAGGATTTCATATAAAATGAGTAACGAAGAAATAAAAGAGTTGGTAGAAAAAACAATTACTCAGATGGGACTTGAACATTGTGCCGACAACAAGATCGGAAACTGGCATTTGAGAGGCATTAGTAATGGAGAAAAGAGGAGGCTAAGCCTAAGTTTGGAGATTTTAAGTCAACCCCATATTATGCTTCTTGATGAACCTACGACTGGACTGGATAGTGCTTCTGCTTTCTTTGTGATTTGGGCTCTAACCAATATTGCTCGTGAGGGGAGGATTGTCATTTGCTCTATTCACCAGCCGAGTGGTTATCTCTTTGATCTATTTGATGATCTGTGCCTCCTATCTAGTGGAGAAGCTGTTTACTTTGGAGAAGCAAAGTTGGCCGTTAAGGTAAAGTGAACCTCTTTTTTTTTTTTTTTTAAGTCTTGGTCATGTACGAGATCATGTTTAAACTAGATTAATTTCTTGTATGATAGTGATTTTTTTTTTCTTGTTTAAAAAAAAGTGAGTACCATAGAGTTTAAGATTTTTAAAACAAATTAACTAACATATGAAATGCATGTTAAAAAAACACTTATCAGTACATACATTTAATGCTAGCTAGCTAGATCATATCAGAATCTAAAAAGAATGCGATAATAAAGAATTGTACGTTATACCCAGGCCTCGTTTAATTCGTTGATTCGAGTTTTCAATTCGAGTTAAGATGTGACTATATTTGAGAGTTTTTAGCTGTATCAGGAAAAAGTTAGATACGACCTTTTGTGAGAGCTTTTAACTATAACAAAAGTGGAATTGAAAACTCGAGTTAGTGAAATGAATGAGCAGTTTTAACTAACTATTTGTTATCGGTTCAGTCACTAACTGACACGTTGGTTTGAAAAAGAAAGAAATTAGGAATGAGAGGATAGAGATGAGCGTCTGTGGTTAGAGATTCATTTTAATATGAAAGAAGAAAGGAACAATGAGAGAAAGGGGGAAGCGATGAAGGCTAGAGAACGGAAGGAAAGAGAGGGGCGGGCGAGAGGGACCAGCGCAAACCGGTCATATGATAAGATTATGTTAGTAATTAGTAATCAATGTAATAAGTGGTTAGTAGTTTATTATTAAGGTTGGTTTGTTAAGCTAGTTAGTAGTAGTATATAAAGAATAGAAAGAGACTAAAAGCGAGGATGGATTAAAGTAAACTGGAAAAATCTTTGGGAGAGTTAGCAGACCTCTCGAACGTTGTCAATCTATCTTGTAATCTCTTTTAATTACTTCATCAATATAATTTTACTTTTAGGTCATACTAGGGAATGAAAGAGAAAAATAGAAGAAAAAACAATTATAGCAATCATTCATGCCGTTTGTAATCACGGAAATTTTAATAATGAGTTTTAGAATGTATTGTTAGGCAGATCATTTATTGGGAAGATTTTCTTTTAACGTCGTAGATATGGAACTAAGTTAGTCAAGGAATGTCCGCCTTCAATTGAATATGTTATTATAATTGACATGGTTTAATGGTAATACCAGATCTTTTATTCTGAAAAAAATGTCACTAGCTAATGCAATTTAAAAAAAAAAAAAAAAATTCACTGTGTTGTATATATGCTAGCTATTTACATACAGTTTATTAATATATATATATATATATATATATATATATACTCGTCAATTAATACAGTTCTTAGAGTTAATCTCATTGGTACCCTCTCAATTTGAGCTCATTTGCACTTTGCCTTCTAAACTGAAAACTCCCACTTTGCTCTCTGTTTTGTTTTATCTCCTTTAAGCCCTTTTCATGTAAGAATTTTTGTTAAAATAAGACCAGTAAAAAAAATGATTAAGTGTAGTCACGTGATTTTTATTGATTTACAATTAATAGATATTCAAACAGAAAAATCACATGACTGACTGTTTTTTTTTATTTGTTTTGAACATAAATTCAGGAACTTGTAACAATTCAAAATTCAGAATGCAAACTAAGAGTTTTTAAAATTTAAGAGATAAACTGAGAATGACCTCTTAATTCAAGAAGCACCACTAATGATAACCCATTTAATTTTGTTTCATTTAATGATATACATTTTTGCAAACTGTAGGGAACTACAACGTCACACTCTCCAGTGAATTTGACCATGAAAGACATAAGAGCGATTCTCATCCAGAAGTACAAGAGTTCTGTGTACGCAACACTTGCAAGAAACAAGATCGAGCAAATTAAATTCACGGTACCGTTGAGATCAGTAGTTCTATTTGTTAAGTGTTATAGTAAAATCTCGATAAATGAATGTTTGATAAATTAATAATCTTACTTAAATAATAAAATCTTCTGATTCTGACTTGAACAAATGTACTAAGTTAATAATCTCACTAAATGCATCAAGTAATAATTTTTTTGAATTATTTAGGCCCAATGAAAATATAAATTAGGAATTAATCAAATACAAATATTTGTAGTAATAATAATAATAAATTACATATAAAACTCATCATATTAAGGATTTTTTGTTCTGATAGGCGTTAAATTTGAAAAATATGTATGTCTTTGTATGTACTTATTAACATTCTAGGCATAATATACTTACATTAATTTTTAGGCTTCTAATTGCATGTATATGACATTTATTATATACCTACTAACTTTTGAAATTATATATTTAACATATAAATTTTGAATTTGACTACGTCCACTATTTTTTATTTATTTATAACTCATACATAAATTTTGGTCAAGAAATAATACACCTACCAAGATGGCCCAAGTTATTAAAACATAAAAATATTCTTAAAATAATAAATATTCATTTTTCAATAAATTAATACCCTGTTAAAATAATATGTTTTCTTAATCCCAACAATATTAATATTTTATAGAGGTTTTACTGTAGTATTACTTGGCGCTAGTGATGGCTTCATATATAATTAAATTAAAATCATCACATGTTTACATTTTGAAAGCATAAAGAAAAATTGTAAGCATGAATAATGACAACCGATAATCATCACAACTAATAGAATGCATGTTGCCGGATTTGGATTCCCTATCCAATTTGCCTGTATCAAACCCAATAACTAATCAATTAAAACATGTTATTACAAGGTACATTGCTTTTTAAATAATATTATATAAATATGGTGGAGTTTTCAATAGTAATATTTAAAAATTGTGATCAACCCAAAATATTACCGTATTTTCATGTGGCCATGTTTGACAACTTATATTGTCTTGTGTTGTATAAAATGTATTATATTGTGTTTGATAATCATGACCTGTTATATAACAGGTCAAAATGTAAAATTTTAAAATTTATTATTGTTAAAATGTAAATTTGTTAAAATACAAAATTTCAAAAAATTTAATGTCAAATTTTAATTTTTCAAAAATGTAGGGTCATGTAATTTAAAAAAAATTTGGGGTCAAAATATAATTTTTAAAAATTTAAGTTTGCATTGTGCCCCTCAATTTTTAAACAATTATGAGCTCAGACATGACCCTATGTCGGTATATGACCCTGAACCCTAATCATGTCTAACTCCGACATGGATCATAGATTCACTGTAAAATAATATAATACAATGCACCCAAAAGAAACCGTATTCATAAAATGTATTAATTTACCATTCATATTAATTTCTACATTAATACAATGACCACACCAAATATTGTATTAGTATATTATTGTATTAGTATATTATTGTAAGATACGGTTTTCTATGCCCTATATAGATTGCAAACTTTTAATGATAGTCCATACTATATATTAAGAGTGACATTGGCTTAAATATGATTTTGACACATATTCTTAATTTTTAGGAAGAAGAGATTCGCCTATCAAAAAAGAGCAATGCGAGCTGGTTGAAGCAAGTTTACACATTAACAGATCGTTCTTTTGTGAACATGAAAAGAGACGTATCATATTACTGGATAAGAATTCTATTCTACCTCGGCGTAGGAGTCACTACAGGAAGCATCTACTTCGAAATCGACACGTCTTATGTGGCCATCATTGCAAGAGCCAAATGCCAAGCCTTTGTGTACGGCTTCATGCTTTGCGCATCCATCGGAGGCTTACCTTCTATCATCGAGGAACTCAAGGTAATATAATAAGGAAATTTTAACTTCATTTTTAATCAACATGCATGAACATAACGTTTGAAAATCTTCCCTAATCGTACAAAGTTTCACTTTTTATCTATTGCATAAATGTATTATGGTATGGGGTAAGAATAATATTTACCTATCATCAATAGATCGATTTTGTTGAAACCGTGATCAGATAATTCAAATATGTATTAGATTATGTGATTTGTACAAATTTTTTATTTTAGTGTAATTTTAACCATATTTAACATTTAGAAACATAGATAGCTATAGAATTTTCACATGTCCCTTATATATGTGAGGAGAATTCAATGGTAGATTAAGAAAAAATAATCTGATCCTAGAGGTTTTTTTTTTTCTTTTTAATTTTTCACCGTCATGTGTATTAAAAACTATAAATTTTCTTTTCTTTTAATGTGACTTTAACTAAATTTAACATTCAAAAACATATATTACGTACCGGTAGATGTTCCCTATGGTCGAATCAATACTTCCATAAGATTTACAATTTAATTAGCTATTGAGCTATTTGGCATTGCTTTTTTTTTTTTTGTGGTTTTACCTAATACAAAAGAAGACTTATGGGACTAAATAGAAGTAAATTTAATGTCCCAATTTTGTTACAATGTGGGGGAACCCTCTCAAATATTAACTTAAAAAATTATGAACTTCTAATTAGTAGAACAAATTAAGTAATCTTTAAACTGACTATCCTGTATTGGTTATTCTCATGTGCATGGTGAAAACTAGGTTTGCAATCGTGAAAGATTCAATAAGCATTATGGGGCAACCGTAGTAGTGATATCGAACTTCCTTTCCTCGTTGCCGTTCTTGGTGGCAATGGCTCTTTTTTCGGGAACCATAATCTATGAAATGGTTAAATTGCGTCCAGGATTTTCCCACTACTTCTATTTTTGCATAAATCTCTTCTGCTGCATTTCTATAACGGAATGTTGCATGATGGTTGTTGCATATTTGGTGCCCAACGTCTTGATGGGCATAGGAATTGGAATTAGTCTAATTGTAAGTATATTTTTTTCTATATATATCCTTACATATTTTACTAATTATAACCTTTTTAGTATCAATTATGCATATATAATATATGATACATTTGTTTGCTTCCAAATTAAGTATAACTGATTATGTACTACTTATGTATATGTATAAGTGATTATGTACTTACATACATATGTGTGTGTGTATATGTAGGTGTTTATGATGATGGCATCTGAAATATTTAGACCACTTTCTGATCTTCCCAAGTTCTTTTGGCGCTATCCCATGTCTTACATAAGCTTCGCATCGTGGGCATTACAGGTACAACCATGGAAATGATATTTTCTTTGGAAATATAATTTAAAAAACAAAAGTTGAAAGAATACCATTATGGGTGTGTTTGGAAATCTCTTGGTAGTTTTATCAAGAAATTATTTTCAGTATAAAAAAAAATCATTAATGTCTTTCTCTCTCTCTCTCGGCTCGAGAGAGGAGAAAACGGAAACAAAAAATGAAAAACGACTAAAAGTCGTTTTTCATTTCTCTCTTATTTTACACTAAATCAAAAAATCGTTTTCATTTCCACTTTTTATCTTTAATTGTGCCAAACACCGTTTCTCTCATGTTTTCATTTTTTCTTTCTCAAAAAACGTGAAAATTAAAAATAAAAACAACTCCAAACACAGCCTATATATTGAATTTCATCAGGAGTTGCTTATTCTAATATTTAATCATAACGTTTGAACGATTTATATATTACACATTAGTACTTTAATTATAGCCGTGATGTATCATGTGTGTACATATATTATGAAAATCACGGAAGGAAAAAGCTATGATATTTATAATCAGCTTCCATACCAAATTGTTGATTCAATAGTAAAGTTACATTTTTTTTTCTTTGCTTGGGGTAAGATATTTAAAGTCTGAACCCCAATAAAGTGTTAGGCGTGAATTTAAAGTTAAACTACTGAATAATTTTTCAGTATCCCTTCCAGTAAATGAACTTATATAAGCAGGCAATTAATTCTTGAATCTTGATTATCAACTAGTCTTATATATACATATATATATATATATACATATAACTTGCACACTAATATTAATTTAGGGATATAGAGGCAAATGGTCTTTTTTAAGGATTTTTTTAGAAAATGTTTGTAAAATTAGTAAAATGATCATTTTTTTTATTAACTAAATAGTCAATCATTAATTGACTAGCGGTTAATTGCTATTGATTTAAGTTTATCACTTATTAACCTGATAATTTTTCATTATTATCAATATTAATTAATAATTAATCAAAATCATCAATTAGTAATTAATTAATTTTAATCAACAAATTATATATTTATTAATGATAAATTATTAGCAAATTATAATAATGAATAAGTCAATAACTGATTGATCATCGGTCAATCATTGATTGGCTATTGAAAAAAAGACTATTTTATTAAAGTAAAAAAATTTGGGCACTTATCTAAAAAATAAAAAGTTTAAACATCTATGGGACGTTTAGTTCATGAGTTTAGAACCATGATTCATAATTTTAATTTTTAAAATTTAAATTTTTTATGAGAAAAAAATACTGTAAAGAATAAGAATCATAATTGAACTCTTAAAACAAACATCCCGTTCTTAAAAAAGATAACCAAAAAAATAGAAACAGTCATTTACCGAATTTTCTCATTAATTAATTACAGGGTGTTTATAAGAATGATGTGATTGGTCTAGAGTTCGATCCACTTGTTCCTGGGGATCCGAAGCTAAAGGGTGAGATGGTTCTGGAAACAATGTATGGAATACCATTGGATCATTCCAAGTGGTGGGATTTGGCTGCTTTGATTTGCTTATTAATATTCCACAGATTACTCTTCTTTTTGGTACTGAAGTACAAGGAGAAAATATCATTGTGGTTTAAGTACAAGTACTATTCAAACACAACTTTGCAACAAGTATTCAGGAGATATCTTCATCACTAATAAGAAAGCGATTTTCACTGTCCAAAACAAGCCAACCTCTCCATTCATTATCTTCTCAACTAGGTCTTACATCTGACATATCTAATTACTTATTTGGTTTTCATGAGTTTATTGATCCATTTGCAAACAATATATAGATGGATCACACTCCTTTTTCTTGGTTTTCTTCAAGGAAATAAATTGCAACTTTCTACATAAGATATGTGTACAACATACCAATTAATGCCTAGTAGACTATTTGTGATAGATTAAAGGATTTTGTAATACTATGATCTTATTGGCGCTACATTTAATTTGAGTACTTGTTGTGAGAAAGGCAAACAATTGACTTTACAATATTCTCTAGTAGCTTTGAGACAATTTTTATTTTTTATTTTTTATATATATTGCAGTTTGCATATGATTCATAGTTTATGGTATCATTTTTTAGCTTCTCAAGTAGTTTTCTTTTTTTTCTCTTTTTTTAGCTAAGAATAATTAAAAGAAATTATATTTCCCTCTTTGTAGCAGCTAGCTTTCTCTAATAAATGATCAGTATTTATGTGGGTACTTGTCTGAGAAAAAATTATTTCAATATTATTTCAATAGCGGCAAATTAAAAGAGAAAAAGAATTTAATGAAAACATTTAAAAATATAAGATTTTACCAATAAAAACCGAAGAATAAAAATGAAAACTTCACCTTTGGAATAAGAAGAAGAAGAAGATGATGATGACAAAAAAAGATAGCAAAAAAAGTAAGTGGAAAAAAAACACACTTTTATATCTATTAATAGGATTATGATGGAAGCAAAATAGAGAAAAAATTACTATATATGAGAAAGTAGTATTTGAGAGTGTTGCAAGAAAAAGAAGTTTGAGTAAAATAAGTTTCTGTAAGAACCACATAGGAAACGAAATTATATTTTAATAAGAAAGGAAATTATATTTTAAGGAAATGTAAGAAAATATTTAATTAGGAGCACATTTGAGAAAGGGTTATTTCCTTTTTATACCATTTGTTTTAGGGGTATTTAAAAAGTATGCTCTTGATTTTTTATTGCTACAAATGTATACCATCCGATTACATTTAATACGTAAATTTATACTTTTTCTTAATCCACAATTAATTTTGACTTTTAAAATTTCTAAATTAATCTTATTGGTAGTGATCTTTAGTTTTTAGTTGCTGCAAACACATACCATTAGATCACTCCACTGAGATTAATTTAGAAATTTGAAAGGTCAAAATTGGATGTTGACAGCAAAAAGGTACAAATTTTCTTATAAGATATAATCATAAGGAATATATTTGCAACTCTTTAAGACGAAGAGTATATTTTCGAATAAACCTAAAACAAATTATATAAAAATACAAATATAAAAACTTATTCAATAGAACATATTAAAGGAAAATATTATTTGAATGAGATACATTTATAAATGTAAACTTTTTTTAAGTAGATGTACCAAAATACTCGTTTAAATCAAAATGTGTGTTTTAGTTGAAATAATATGTACAACATATCAATGAAAAAAATATTTTGGTCGAGTTAAAGAAAAAACTAATTAGGATGTACACATGAAAAAGATAATACAAATAAGGACGTATTTGAATAAAAAAAAAAATCAATGGGACAATTTTTAAAAAAAATTACGATTATCACTTGGTAAAATAACATTGTAGAGAATTTTTTTTTAAAAAAAAAGTGTATATAATATATAATTTTGTTTCAGGTTTAAAAATAAAAAAATAACAAATTACGACAATAGAAAGATAATGTTATTATAGTGATAGAAATGTGTCATGGTTAGATTATTTTTTTAACAGTTAAATTTATATATATCCACATAAAAAATTTATAACATGTAATATAGTACTATCCTTAGATCAAAGAGTTTAAAAATTAATCCAATGACTGGAGCACATCAACCTTCTCCGTGTAAATGCACCAAAATAAATAAATAATAGATGCTTTAACCAATTTATGAAACTAGCACCCAATAACTCGTCGAGTGAATTTGTCGTTTTTGGGTAGAGATATATCAATTACGACGATAAATTTTTTTTTTTTTTTTTTGTAGAAAGTATTAAGAACGACGGTCTTTTTAGGCGGGTTTTTTTTTTTTTTTTTTTTTTTTTTTTTTGGAGAAAGAGAAAAATAGGCCAAAATTTTAGATGAATTAAAATTAATAAGCCAATAGTTTATATAAGTTAATAAATAGGTCAAATTACTATTTTCGTCCGTAATTTGTCTGGTTTTGAACCATAACTTGACAAGTTATTGTCCATAACTTGTCTGGTTATGAACTACAACTTGACAAGTTTATCCATAACTTATCTGGTTATGAACCATAACTTGACAAGTTATGACCTATTAATTTCTATAACTAAAAATTGACCTATATACTTTCTTAAACTTTTTATATTAGCCTATTTTCTACTATTTTCTCTTTTTTTCTGACAAGACGGTCAACTTGATCCATGGACATCATGGTAACTGTATTAACCTTCAATATTAAGGTCCCTAGTTCAAATCTCTCCAACTTCTTAATTATTGAAAAAAAAAAAGTTGATCTCACAAATTGTCCCTAAATTTAATCTTAATCTCACTTTAGTTTCTGACTTTTCAAACGTAGCATAATTAATTCTTAAGGTTTTAATTTGTTTCAATTTCAGTCCTTTCTTTTGTTAATTTGGTATTAAATATTTGACAGAATCTATAAAAATTATGGATTAAAATTGAAAATATATAAAGGCTTAGTTTGGTATTACTTTTCCCTCCCAAACTGAGCTTCTGCTTGTAGCAGAAGCTGATTTTAGTATTTGATAAATCTCCTCAATATTTTTTTAAGAATTTTTCAAGAATATACAACCAAATCAGAAAGAGCCTAAAGACAACTTTAGCTTTTAAATTTTACGAGAATCAACATAGTACAACTAATGAAACTTTTATAATATTCCTAATGAAATTTAAAATTTACAATCTTCTAAATCTAAAATTCAAACTCGTAATATAATATAATATAATTTAATAGTAATATTATAACAAATAATATCATAATTATATTAATAACTCTAATATTATTATTTTATCATTGATATTATAATAATATTATAATTATTTTAATAATATGATATTATAATTATAATATGATATTGTAATTATTATTTTATAATATATTATATATTATATTGTATTGATATAATTATATTTATTATATTAATAATATTATATATGTTATATTATAATATAATATAATATGATCATTATTTTTAATTATTTCAATTATTATTTTAATAATATTATTATATTCTATATCATAATTATATAATATATTATATAATAATAGTTTTTTGTATTATATTAAATATAATAATAAATATATCTTATATTGTAATTATATATATTATATTATAATATAATATAATATAGTCGTAATTTTTAATCCACAGTAATTCAATCTCATAATTTACTAAACGTTATTACACTAATTTTAGAACCAGCACAACTACTATAATTATAGTTCACCAAATACTCAGCTACTTTTTGTAACACATGCTTCTTCCTTCAGCACAGCTAAAAGTAATTTTTCAAAATCTATAGCACTACCAAACTAAGCCAAAGTTTAGAGACAAACAATGCAAAAAACCAAAAGTTAATTTCTACATAGACTCAAAATTTTAGTTGTTTCTAATTTTAGACACTAATTTACACATATTCTATCCAATTTTAACGCCTAGTTAAACTGAAACAAAATAAAACCTCAGGACCATCTATACAACGTTTGAAAAGTCAGAGATTAAAGTGAAATTGAGTGTAAACCTCATGGACTATTTTTGAAATTAACTAAAAAAAACAAACAAACTTGCGGAACCTATGAAGTGATAGCAGCTCATCAGAAAAATCAAAAATCCGCAATAATGCATTGGCAAACTCTGCAAGTTGCACGTAGAATTTACAGTGTAAAATGATCAAAGAAAGACAGCTGATTCATCCTAAAAATTGAGGGCTTATTGGACTAGCCAGTTTAGAGTGAACAAAATTGAATAACAAAATGCTAACATGATCGGGCAAACAAAGTTTCTCTTGAAATACTTTTTATTTGTTCGATTCAATAAATTCTTTGTACTCACTCTTCATCTTGACTCCCGATACAGTCCTACATAACAAGGATAGAACAATTAGATTGGAACCTAGAACAAATAACTGTTTGTGGTGAAGCTATATTTAATGGATGATGACAAATGAAAAAACAATTCTTCAGACCTTTTCTGCAAAATTGCATAAAGAGTCGCCTGAAAGAGAAATCTTATGGGGGATAATGTGAATTTAAAAAAAAAAAAAAAAATACATACATACATAGTAAGAGAACCAATGAAGTTTAAGAGGATAAGATTAAGATATAGTCAACCTGAGCATCTCTTTGTTTTTGAAAAACTGAACGCAAGGTGTGCCCATAATTCCAGCTGCTTCTGCTACTTCTGGATCTTCCTCAATATCAATTTCAACAAAATGTACATTCTCGTCAAACTCATCGATCACCTGCCAGTAGCGAAAGGTCAAGAAAATGTTCAGTGCATTTTGTACGAGCTCTAGGGGGAGACTCATTTGAAAAAAAAATAAAAATAAAAATAAAAAAAACAAAATATAATAAAATAAAAACAAAATGCAAGTAAAACCATTCAACTGTCTAGGTCGCCTAACTCCTTATCAGCATACCCTGTTTCAGTTTCAGTTTGGCTTCGAGTCCATACAAATGGGTTCACTAGCCAAATTACCGTCCAGAGGGATCTTCCTAGATCTTCATTGGGATCCAATTCATGTAAAAGATCATAGTTCTAGCAAATGTTTACTACACAGCATTGAGATTGAAAATCGTACAAAACCATCTTAAATGGCATACCTTACTGAGAATTGGTTTCAAGGTCCTACATGGACCACAAGTCGGTGACGTATACAGTACACATATAAGCCTTGGACTTTCATGGTACAGTTTACGTAGAGCATACTGAAAAGAAAAACAAACAAAAAAATTATGAGCTTTGCACTGGAGGGATAACGAAGACAGAATAAACAGAATGTTAAAAATTAGAAGCGCTGACAAACAATACAAACCTGCCCCCTATGTTTGGTCAGAGTAATATCATAACCTTCCTGAACATCCCTGTCTGTAAGCTCCTTCTTAACCTCCTCAGTTTGGGGCTGTGAGAAGTACAGTTCATGAGATGAACGCAAATGAAGGAGTAAAATGAAAAGAAGTTCAAACTAAATGCATGTACAAGACCCCCAAAAAAAAAAACCGACAAAGTTGCATAAACAATCAACAAACTCCAATCTCGTATATCTCCGCATAAATACAAAGGAAAAATAGGAAATCAATTGGGTGATAAATAAAATGGTCTGAAAATATTGGAATAGGGCCTAAAGATTTTTGTAAAACAGAAAAATACCTGGTGAAACTCAATGAGTAGATCTTTGCTCACAAGATATCTCTCAACTGATAAAGCAGCAATACATCCAGAGCCAGCAGCAGTTACGGCTTGCCTCCATTCATGGTCCTATTCGGGTATGAGAAAACAAATTACAAATAGTCTATCTCGGATAAAGGATATTCTGAAATTGGGCTATGTACATCATAAAAGGGTTCTGGAAAGATGCAACAATTTAATCATTTTTCTGCTTAAACTGTAGCGGATATTTTTCTTTTATGCAGTTGTGAAACTGAGGAATAAAATAAGTTGTTGATAGTATTACCTGTACATCTCCTGCTGCAAATACACCTTCAACAGAAGTTTTTGCAGTGCCCTCCTCAACCAAGACATAGCCAGAACTGTCCAGCTCAACTTGGCCTTTCAAAAGGTGGCTATTTGGTGAGTGACCTATCCCATAAAATAACCCCCTTGCCTCGAGCACGGATTCTTCCCCAGTATCAACTTTCCGAAGCAAAATGCCAGACATCTGGCCCTTCGTATTGCTGACAACATCCACAGTCTCTGTATTGTAGTGCACGGTGATATTTGGGTTGTTGAACACTCTGAAACATTCGCGATAATCAACCTGTTAAAAAAACATTCAGGGAGTTGAAAACTCATACAAATTGTTCATTAGTATATTACAAAAGCCTATTAATGATGGTGAAACAAAATAGCCACTGCTCAGAAGAATGACAAAGAGCCTACTATCTAGATAGTCCACAGGTTTAGTAATACAATGTCAACCTGGAAAAATTATGGGTTTTGTTTTTTGGGCAAAGTTGATGAAAAAACCCATGTAATGAACATTACAAGACACGTAGATAATACTATAGGCCTACACATACAATTTTACGAGCAACAGAAGTATGCCATAACATCTTCCACTGATCAATATTAAGAGAACTCATCGCTCACCTATCTTGCATTGCTTTGGAAGCCCTTAGCTGATCCCTACGTACAAGTAAATGGACATGATGGGCATATTTAGTTAAGTATATGGCTTCCTCTGTAGCTGTATCACCCCCTCCAACAACGGCAAGAACTTGCCCCTTAAACAATGGTGATGCCCCATCACAAATCGCACATGCACTGATTCCCCTACTCCAAAATTCATCTTCGCGAGGTAACTTGAGCCTTTTTGCAGCAGCCCCTGTAGCGAAAATTAGACTATGGCTCTTAACCTGAAATGTAAATGAAAACAAGAGATTTTCAAAAAATACAATCGCCAACAAAAACGAAGCCATGTTGTATAAAGATGCTAACTAAACAAGTCTGTGGAAGTCGGAATATATTACTTAAAGTTACAAACTAACATGGGCTAATGAAAGCCTTGCTTTAAATTAGTGCATTGCTAATCTTTACATGAAATGAAATATAATTCAAATCCGTAAAATTTAGCTTTTCAAGAGTCATCTTCAGCAATAATGAGTTCATCCTAACCATAAAAATAGCACCGTCAAAAAGACTATCTCTATTTAAACAAAAAAATAATTATTTTATAAGTTCTTGAACCTTATAGTTCAATTGAACCACATTCAAAATGTTAAATTTATAAGCCTGTCGAACATAAACTCAAAAGCAAGGCGCAACTTAACGAATTTCACATTTCAATGCAACTGTAGAAATGATATATTGAACAAATTCTAGAAAAAGAACACATACCTCACGTTCACTACTTTGGATGGTAAAGGGACTAGTTTTTACATTAATAGATTCAACATCTTCCTGGAACAACTCTGCTCCCCAGCGCTCAGCTTGTCGTCGCATCCTAGACATTCATAATTCGCAGATGTTTATCTACTGATGCATCATAGCTGCTGTTCCTACATATAAAACTAAAAATAAAAGAGAGAATTTTGACTCCATTTTAAGATTGTCTCCTATGCCATACCTGTCCATTAAATCTGGACCAGTTATTCCATCTGGAAACCCTGGGAAGTTCTCCACTTCGTTGGTAGTCATCAACTGTCCCCCAGGAACACCACCTACTTGATATCCCTCAAACACTAGAGGTTTCAAATTAGCACGAGCAGCATATATTGCGGCTGTGTATCCAGCAGGACCCGAGCCAATTATCACCACGTTTTCAACATCTTTTGCTGCAAGAACCGAAAATGTATTTCATCCGTTATGACAAAGTAAAACTGGAATTGGTAACTCCACAACTAAAAATTGAAATAATGACAATAAAGCTAATAATATTCATCGGATTCAGTTGCAGCATGAGCCTGGACAGAAGTCCAACAGTTTAATTCCCCATTTATGCATTTAACAAGCAAAGAATTTTGGATAATTTAAGACAAATAACCAAATAACAATGTATTTCAGATATTCAATCATCGGTTTAGCGTAGTGATTAACTCAGCAAGATCAACGAGACCAGCAACCTAAATTAGAAATATAAACAAATGTGCAGCTTATTAAGCAACTAAATCATAGTTGTTACGAAGATAACATGCAGACAGATCGTATAACTGTAACTTCCCATTCAACACATAAAAAGCATTATTTCAATTTCTAGGCTCAACAATATAAACATTTCAGAACAATCCACCACAAAGGCCCTCCTTAGTCCACTAAAGCAATTCGATCAAGCATTACCGCTACATTTTTCTCTTGCAATCATCATGATCTATCCGTTATCACAATTCGAGTTTCTAGTCAAACAATCCTTACTTAGACCAGTCACTTCGTTCATGAGTACATTGCCTATTGACTCCCTAAAGCACATTCCTACATAATAATTCACCGTCCCTACTTCAATTTGAAACGCTTTTCGGCACCAAACACTTCAATTTGATTAATTCAGATAATTTTCAAAAAACTAAACAATTAAAATCCTCGCATAGACCATTTCATAACATTCCATTCAATTCTCAACCTCTACGCCGCAGAATTCATCAAGCATTGCAAGAAGCACATTCATACAGCGAAATCAGTATTCAATTGAAGCTCGCGAAAAGAGAAATGATCAAATAGAGAAGAAAAACTCGAAGAATTTTCCAGCTCAAAGTTGCCAAAACTTAGCATATAGACACACCTATAGATACAGACACAAACACACATTTTTAGAGAGAGAGAGAGAGAGAGAGTTGAGTAACCTGGAGAGGAAGGAGAAGACTCGGAGGAAGCTCGAAGACGAAGAAGAGGAGGGCGAGTACGGAGCGAGTGGAGAGGGAGGGCGGCGCGTGGGCGAGTGGAGGGGAAGGAGCCGACGAAGACGAGGGAGTGCGGAGAAGGAAGAAGAGTGGTCATGGCGACTCGGTGAGTCGGAGCAGTACCGATTCCCGGGTCTATCCTGAGAGCCATAACCAAATGGTTTTCAGACCATACAAATGATAGAAGGAGAGAGAGAAGTTTGTTTTGTTTGTATTTTTTGGTGTTAGACAAGAACTTGAGAAAGCTCTTCCTATTCTGTTTTCTTGGGGGTTGGGTTTCATTCGGACTTGGGGACACTCGATGACGAGGCTTATCTCTACTCGCATGGTTATGGTCGTGTCTCCACTCGCTTTGACTACCTGATAAATATAATATATATATATATATATGAAATATTTTGAGTCGGGCAATTGGGTACGGGATGGGTAAATTTAGGTCTCGTTCATTTTGAGAATTTGAGTTTTTAATTCGAGTTAAAATGTGATATTTTTTAATAATTTTTTACTGTAGTAAAAAAAAATTAGATGTGATATTTTTTAAGAGCTTTTTACTATATAAATTTAAAATTAAAAACTCTAATCGGTGAAATAAATGAGACCTTAAAATTTATATTTTTTTTATTAATGATGTACTTGTATAACACATTTTGTCTAAATGCAATTTTTAGCGCGACACGTTTTGATTCTCCCCTAAAGAAACTTTTTTTTTACGTTAAGTTTTTTCAACTTTCGTTTTTCCTTTTTATTTTTTGAGTTTCTCTACTAATTTGTTCTATCAGTAGTCTCAATTTTTAATCATTATATCTGATTAAAAAAGTATCAAAGTAAATAAATTCTGAAATAGATCTGACAGTTAAAAAATAAAAAACTACTAATAATCAATTTTTACAGAAACTACGAGAAATAGTCCCTTTCTTTTTTTCCCCTCAGTTCTTTCTTCCTCTCTTTTCCCTTTTTTTTCCTTTACAAAATATATATATATATATATATATATTTTTTTCCTTTCAAATGTGACCCTCATAAACACTTTTTCTCAATTGTCTCATTAAAATAATTTTGTTATATATATCCTAATCAAAACTTTTCTTCTTTTACAAATGATCCTCTTAAATACTTTTTTCTATATATACTTAATAAATAATCTTTAATATTTTGTTGTTAAATGTATCTTTACGAAACATTATAGGGTTGGCGATTATATTTTTTTAGAAAAATGGGATGAGGTGGTCGATTTTGACAACTTCTTTTAAGATATATATATATATATTTAAAGTTGATTAGGATCTTGTAAATTGGTGATTAACCAACAACTCAATCACGTAAATCATTGGTTGCCATCAAGTAAAATCACCATGCCAATGAGTGAATCATTGATTAACCATTTTCTAATTTAACAAAGCATGAAACATTTGTTAAAACAATACTTAAAAAAAAGGATTTCTAACATATAAAATGGACTATCGAAAGTCTTTTATTTTTTAACTGTCAGATCTGTATCATAATCAGTCTGTTTTGCATATAATTTGTCTATTTTTACATACTTTTTTAATGTGATGTGATATTAACTAGATCTAATGATTAAAAACGGTCACAGGTTGCAGAAAAATGGTCTCCGGTGGCCGGCACCAGCCGCCGATCCTAACTATAGTGAACTTGACTATAATCTACCTATTTTAAAAAATATGTTATAATTTACTATTTTTTTTAAAAAAAATAGATGTTTAGGGGGGAGGAGTGAGGAGGAAAATGAGGTTTGGGGGTATTTTTGTATTTTAATAATGTTTAAAACTTAAAATATCAAATTATGCTACAACTTACTATTTTTTTAAAAATATGTTATAATTTACTAGTCACTTTACCAATTATGTTATTTCTCTCCTTATCCCAAAAGAATATAGAAACATAATAATGTGGCAAGAGGAGGGGATTGAATGGCTGAGAAGAGGCATAATATTTCTTTAGAAAAATAAATAGGCATTATTGAGTTTAGAGCATAATAAATTAATACCTTGTTTGCTAAACTGGTTTAGTTTAGTTCAACTCAGTTCAAACAGTGAGTATAATTTGAACTCTTATTTGGTAAGCACGTACTCCGAATTATATTCTCTGTTTGAATTGAGTTAAACAGTCCAACTTAAAATTTAACTCCCCCTTTAAGTTCAACCGTTTAAACCATTTTTGAACAATAAAAAGGTGCTCACTCTCTCTGCTTTTTACACATACCAAACACAAATTAGAATTTTATTCTCTATTTAAATTAAAATTTTAACTACACTTCCAAATGTTAATTCGAACTACAGTTTAGACCACACAGTTTGAATTTTTCTATTCAAATAAAAAAGTTAAAATCAATAAAATTCGAACCAACGAATCAAATATGAGCTAAATTGTGCAAAATGAGAATCTCAATAGCCTTCTTCAATTCCGTCCAAAACATAACATTGATACAAAATTTTAAGGAGGAATGGATTATATGAATTGAAATTAGGAGGGCACATTGTCATATTACCTAAAGTTTGAGGAGATCTATAAAATTTCATTTTAAGCGTGTGCTTTTCTTTAAGTGTTAACAAAAATAAAAAATTAAAAGCCTTTCACTCATTTTCCATCAAAACCAAATAAAAAATAGCATGTTCATTCAAATGGGGTCCGTGAGGGTAGATCCTAAGTGAATTTAGAATTATTCGCCTTTAAATTTTAGAGTCGCCTATATTTTACTTTCTAAACTTTAAGATTTACCTGTATTTTACTTTTAAACTTTAAAAGTTCTTATTGTACTATTACAAACTTTGAATTCTCACCCTGTAAAAAGTACAGTGTTAAATGACAAAAGTTTGTGAAAAATTTTACAGAAATTTTGTGAAAAATATTAGCAAAAAATCATTAAATCAACAAAATATTGGTAAAATTCATGTCTTTTTTTAAAATTTATTTTTGAATATATTAAAATCCATGTCCTTTTTAACGTATTTTTTATTGTATTTTTTTTTTAATTTACTTGTTTATCATAGTCTTCCATAACAATTATATAAGAAAGCAGAAATGTTGAAAATTATTTTTGAACAAACTAAAAATGACAAAATGATCATAGGGAGAAAAATAAATAAATAAATAAATAAATACAATAGAGTAGCAAAGGATTGACTTTGACACTTTGAGTACTCGAGCGAGTAGCAATATAATGTTGAAGCCTTTGAACAATGTCTAGTGTCCATTTCTGTATCCGTAATATAGGGAAATATTAGAAAATATGTCAATATGAAAAGTTTAAGAAAGTATATAAGCTAATTTTTAGTTATAGAAATTAATAGGCCATAACTTATC